CTGTGAGTTCACTCGTGGCTTATCATAGCATCAGGTGTGTAAAGACAGACACGGAGTGTCCAACTCTATGTTCGTTTTGAGTCAGTCGGAACATCATTTTCTGGATCAGGATCATCATTTTGTGGATCGGTTTTAGGTTTGTTGTCTCTTGAAGTGAATGGTGTTTGCTGTTGTTGTTGTTGTTGTTGTTGGTGTGGGGCTGCAAAGTTGTTTGCAACTAATAAGGCTTTGGCGAGGCAATTCCATGGATGGACCGCGAAGGGATTGCGTTGTCAAACATGTTGTCAACAAATCAAGCTCATACACTGGGGGAGATGTCTTTCGCCTACCACTTGGGGGGCAGTCCCGACCATTAACTATACGATCATTGTTATACGCACAGCCGCCCTTTTGATTATTTGCATGGTTTTGGGTAGATCCAGGTTTACTTTTCGTAGTGTTGGTTTCAAAAAGAAACTGGGGTAGTCTGCATGTTTACCCTCCCCGGCATGAAAATCGAGGTTGTGCTAGATAAATAGAAGGCTCCGCCGCAGCCTGCCACATGCTCTTTCATTTTTACGAGTTGTTTCTTTTTCATGGCGAATGGGCCCTTTGGACCTTTGAATGGCTTTGAGTCGACGCACCTGGACATGCAAGTTCCTCCAGCAGAATCATGCCGGGGGAGCGCTGAAGTCTGCGTAAAGGTATCACGGCCACGTTTTTCAACAAGCTGCACAGGACTCGGTACGGTTGAGCGTCATGATAAGAGATATTGTTGTTTTTTGTACGGGATTAAGAAATCTTGTCTCGCGTAGTGTCTTGAGATAATAGATTTGGCATGTTGACCTTAGCCGTCACACTGCTGACAAGCTTGAGTTTGTCTCTTCTCCAAGGCGCAAAAACAAAAACGGTTCGGTTCGGTTTCGGTTGTGGAATACGCTGTATGTTCGGTTCGGTTCTCGGTTCTGTTCGGTTCTGAAGGCCGCACACCAGCCGCCCGTGGCCGCGATACCACGAAAGGCCGTCTTTCGGCAGGGATGTTTTCGTTGCTCTCTGATTGATTCAAAGCGGGTTGTTTGGTTGTTCTTTGAAGGTCATATTCTTATCTATGGGCTTATTTGTTTGGGCCACTCAACCAGAGGTCCATAGATCTGTAGGCTTCTTGCGGGCTCGTTCCACGCCGTGGAACTTGCGGGGCCGCCAGACCACGGTGAAGTTCTTGAAGATGAACTGCGTGGACTTCCAGTCCAAGTGCCAGGAGGCGGGCTGACTGGCGAGCGGGCTGACTCTGGGACTTTGATGGCGGGAGCCATAAAGCCTGGGTAGATGATAACACCAAACACTAACGCTAGCGCAAACACCAACATCGACACCGACAACTCACAACAACTAACTCTAACACAAACAGTAACACTAACAGTAACAGCAACAGCGACGGCAGCACCAGTACCAACTGCAGCAGGAGTAGCAGCAGCAGCAGAGGCAGCACCAGCGGCACCAGCAACAATACCAATACCAACACCAACACCACCACCACCACCACCAACAGCAGCAGCAGCAACGATAACCCTGCTGATGGCAACAATACTTACAACACTAACTACAAAGCAGTAACAACAAAAACAGAATATATATTTGCCCCCTTCCCGACTTACCTAGTGTTATTAACTTTTTGTCTATTCTGCTAAATCTCAGACCAGCATTTTATGTCTATTCTGTCTTTCTATTCTGTCTAATGTTTGGAAGGTTAGCGAAGCTTCAGGAAGCGCCGAGCTTTGACGAAATTGAGCGCTTCGGGAACCTGGGTAGAAGGTTTGGAAAGCAGGGCGTGTATGTTAATCGTGGTGTATTGCCTGCTTTTGTTCGGTTACGGTGGTTCGCTTTGCGTCTTTGTTTCTGATTGAAGCTCGGTTGAGAGCCTTGACGGGTGCCCTTTGAGTTGCAAACCGTTTGACTTTTCGGAAGCAGCAAAAACGATCCCAGCAACCAATAAGTATTGCTGATCTTTGCTGTTGTGTTTTTTGTTGAAGTGACAGCAGTGCACCTTTTGAGACAACCAGTACTGCGAGTACCTCTGAGTTAGTCAGTACCGTTTCCGTTCCCGTGTTTCAATAGGAACTCCGCTTGATTCGTGGGTCTGCAACAATTTTCGGGGTCATTGCAGCCCAAGTGTGAGTATTACTGTTTCTTTAGCAGCTCAGATACTCTCGTAGCGAGACTTAAAGATGCGTTCCCAGTAGGTTCCCTCCACAAATTCAACAGACTGGCGGAGCGGCGCATTTGGCCCGCCCAAATAAACGACCCCTCAATGTCATCCTGAAAGCAACCGGGAAGCGGACCAAAGGTGGTGTTCCCCTGGTGTTTGCTACAGCTGTCCTTGTGCCAATCGGGAATAGAAACAAACCCTGCAGTCTGGACATGTTCAAGAAAAGCGGCAGCAAGCAGCAACCCACAGGGGTCCCCATTTGTTGATTACCCCAACGTAGACTTAAACCCATGGTTTTTCTTTTGGGGAAATTAGCCATCCCTGGGCTCAAGTGCAACTACTTTGAGTTGGTGGTACACTGCCCTTTCTTTGGGCATTTGGGGGCTCAATCGGCCATGGGCCAAGTTCGGCCAGAGGCCGGCCAATCGTTTGGGGTCAGGAAATCTGGAAATCTGTGGTGTGTCTTTGTGTGTCTTGTCGGTGTTGGTTTGTTTCTGCGTTGTTTGATCAGCAGCCCGTTCGAGTTTGGATTCTTTCTTTCCGGGGTTTGAGAAGTAAAACAGGTGTTTTCTGCATGTTCTACGCAATGCCGTCAACGGAATAGCGTTGATTGGTTTCCTTCTCTTCCACAAAATGTGCCAAATTTCTGGGAGACTGGGTGGTGTGTCAAGAAAACGATGAGTTTAAGCAGAATGAGACCTGGGCGGTCTTTTGCACCTGACCTTCCCGGCTCTGCCACGGAAGCCCGACAACCTCGACTCGAGCGGCAGCTGCGACGCAAGCGCGAATCGACCGGAATCGACCTTTTGGTTTTTCGGTGTTTTTGGCAACCAGATTTCGTCCTAAGGTACCAAATTGTGATCTCACCTGTCCTTGCCCACCCATCCTTCCCCAAAACGTGATCTCACCTGGATGATTTCCGGGTCCCATCCGGGCATCCATCGGAGTGTTCGGCTCGCCGCTCAGACGGGGCGCTTCAATTCATCGGACGCCAGGAGAAGATCCAGGCCTTTCCGAGCATCCGCTTGTACAAGCGCGACGGGCCCGGGCCCCACGTGAGTTTTCCCAGCGCTCGAGGGGGCTTGGGCGGCGTATAAACCGTGTGGCCCCTCTTTTGGGCGGGTTGCATCATATGTATTTTGTTAAAAGGCAGCTTGGGAAGTTTTTGTTGGGGGAGGGGTGATTGGTATATGGCATGAGGGATTCTTGATTTCTCGTTGCGCGGCATGAGGGAATCCTACTTGGTGTTTGCATTTGGCGGGTTGCCTCATGCTGAGAGGATGGGAGCAGGCCACTTGGTTGGGCCATGGGCTGAAACCCAACATCTCAAGCAGAAAAGCAACGCATCCAGGGCTGAGCCCGGATTTCGTCCTGGTGAACCAACGGTGACAAGTAACGATAAAGATGGATGATTGTGGACGCGAGGAACACGGACCCCTTGCCGGTCCGTGTTCAAAACCGATGAACTATGCCACGTGGAAGGTTTGTATGAGTTCTGACGCACGACCTTTTTAGTAGGACCAAGCTGCTTCTCCCAAGAAACTGAGTCACCATACCAAGCCATAGACCTTGTGCTGAATTCCCAGTGCCTATGTAGCAGGCCGTGTTCACCCTGCGATTGGACATGGGGCTTCGGAATCCCCTTCGACCGTGGGCGCGGTCCTTTTGGCTGGCATGCGGAACTTGGATCGCCAGGACCTTTGAGCAGTTCCAGAACAAGAGAAGTGCCGCTCAGCGACCGAAGGGCTCACCGGTTTATGTGGCCGTATAGGTGTGTGTGTGTGTGTGTGTGCGTGTTGTTTTTGTATGGGGGACCCTTTGGACATCATTTGAGTGGGGAGTCATGTTCACCAACCACCTTTGGGGGGGTTCTGACTCAAGTTTCCTCCCATTTCGGGCGTGGTCCAAAACGCAGTTCATCGCATATGTTTCCCTACCAGCGACCTGGGTACCAAGTTGGTTTGACTTTTTTGCAGGCCTTCCATAGAGCAATCCGAAGCGACGAGTTTGACTGCAAGGATCAACCCAGTCATGTGCTACACATGCGAGCTGGGGCCCAGCAAGTCGGACGCGCGAAGATATTTGCCCACCCTCTTTTGTGCGATTCGGTGTCTCATTTAAAATCTGGAGCCCCTAGGTGGTTGGTTTCCTTTTGGTTTCCCTTGAAAGCCGTCCGAAAGGGTCCCCAATGTTGCGAAACCCCATGAACCCCAAATCTAAACAGAAGAGGTAGTGAAATTTCACCAAGGTTTCTGAGGGATGCCTTACTTCTCTAAACCTCTCATTGAAAGCCGGGGAAACGCTGGCAACTCGTGGGCCCGTGGATGCCTTCGACACGCTTTCTTCTCACGAGTCTCTGGTCCGCAGTGCGTCAAAATCCGGTCGTGACCCTGCCAAAGCACACGAAAAATAGGAACCCAGGCACGCCGCCGCGAAACACGGGCGAATAGGCGCTTGGGTGCGACCCTCAACAGGCCAAGCCACAGAAGTGAGATCTAGTATTGCATGACCAGAGGTTCTGCGTCCAGTGTGCGATGAGCAAGCTGCATCCAGAAGAAGCAGTGGCCCCCTCCGAGTTTGTCCCTGACAAAAAAACACAGGCAGAACATGGCAGAACAGATTTCAGCAACTCCTTGCCGAACGGAGTCTGTGAACCTTTTGGCATCCATTTATTTGTCCATCAAGCTCAATGCCAGTCAAAGCGTCAAATCCTTTCCTTCCATTTGTTTTCTTTCCCCTGTGGTTTTGAAGGCAATCGATTTCACTGCTGTTTTTTTTTTTTTCCAGGGGTCACCAAATGGAAGTTTCTTGTTGACCGGTCTCCTTCCACCCCCAGTCTGCATCCGCGCAAAACATCATGGGCTGCGGAACCTCCTGCTGCTCAACGGCAGACGCGGCGCTGGAGCTGGAACCGCTGGGTAGCGCCAGCGGCTTGCAGCGGCATGCGCTACTGGCGCCTCGCCCTGAACAGAATCCCGTACCCCCAGTGAACATCCCAATCCCCACTATAGACTAAAATGGGTGGCGAATTCACCTACCCCAAAATGGGATCCCATCGGTGTTGACCCACGATGTGGCAGAAAAGGAGTCGGACCCCCTGAAATTGGTGAGTTACCTTTTGGGCCCCCCCTTAAACGCCAGGCTCGTAGCCTCCAAACAAAATCCCACACGCACAGATCACACAGACGGCTTTGGCGAAGGCGATTGGTCAGGTTGACGCCATCTTCTGTTTGAGGTGAGGTTTGATGCAAAGCTGTAGTTGGCTGGCAGCAGACACACGCATGGCTGCCTCGGGAACAGTGCGTTACGCCTTTGCTTCATGTGCTTTGTGTCATGCTCCGCAAGCAAACATATTTACATTGCTTTGGCACAGGGTTTGGGCAATCTTCTTTCAATCTTGGCAACCGCCGCAAAGTGATCACGCGTTATTCGGCTGCAGACATGTTGGTGACATGTTCTACACCTGGTGGTGTTTTAAAACGGGGCAGCCCGCAAAATAGGGTGGTGTCTCTGTTGATTTCCTTTAAAACCATCCTAAAGAGGGCATCAAAAAACAAACTCCCACTTATGAGTTTGGCTGGAGAATCAGAACATGGCACCGCACGATTCATATATCACCTCCAAAACCACCGTCCGCGGCTTTTCAGGAGGACTCTCTTTGGCAAGGGGCCGTTGATGGCTGCTGGGGGATTTGGCTTGACGGATCTTTGGACTTGGACTCGTTGAAACAGCTCGGATTTTCCGACTTGGGCCCACAAGTTAAGAGGTCAACATCAACCAAAGGCTGGGAAGTGCTTTTGTTTACAAGCCTATAGCTGATGTCTGAAGGTTGGCTAAATGGGTGTGGCTCAAGATGAAACTGGGGCAAACCGCAGGTTTTAGTGTTTGTTTCCAAAAGGTGCCATTTGGGTACCATGTGTTCGAGCCGAACCCAAATGTGAAGCAGCATCTAAACAGCTGCTTGCTGTACCCTCGGGGTTGGGTCAAGGTAACCAGGTAGGCGAGTGTACCACAAAGATGAGAACGGTTTTCTGACGAGTGGTGCTGGATGCAAGGTGGGCTTGGACTATGAGGGCAACCCACAGCTCGGGCCTCAATTTGGCGCGTGCTTGTGACTTGCTGGACACCAGGATCCCCAGAAATTGGTGTTGGCCCCTTGGAGGTTCCAAGTTTACACACTTTGGCTTCGTGCGCTGGCGGTCTCCCGGGAACAAGGGATTGCTGGTGGGAAAGGGCAAACATACATTTCTGGGTGAACTATAACGATCTCACGCGACCTCACCCCAAATGGTGGTTTTAGCCCCCGAACCACCTTATTTCAGGCTGGTGAAATATTACAATTCACCCAGACATTTGTTCTTGTGGGGGGGGTAGCCTTTGAGACCCCCTGGATCCATTTCAGACCAGAGGGCCTCGCTCAGATCAGAGGGCCCCGGATGCACGAGGGTTGGGTTGCCATTTCCCAAATTGGCTCAACAGTTGATCAGCTTCGTTTGGATAGAAGTCCGCATGGATGTTCGCCCAAAGAGCCTCACTTCCTGAGCGGATGGGCCAAAAACAGTAACTTGCCAACTATTTCTTTAGCCCTAAAATGGTCCAAACGTTTAAACAGCAACCAGAGTCCGAAATGGAACTCAGGAAGTGAGAGGCTTATGTTCGTGGGAGGCCCCTTGGGGTTGACATGTCTGGTTATTCTAGGGGTACCTTCCCCATTCTTTCGAGGGATTGGAATCTTTTCAGGAAACTATCAAAAACTGAGGGGAACCAGATCCGGTTTTTGAAAAGAAGGATGGTTGAAAGCAATGGACAAGGAATCAACCCTAGAGTTATGGTCCGTCGCAGGAAGTGGCCCAGCCTCACGGGCACCAAGAACGACATGAGGCTTGGGCTTCCGTTGGTTTGAGGCTGCCACTTGCGCCAAGGGAGGGATCACCAACTAGGTCCAGCCAGGTGCCCGACCCGGAGGGTTCGGGACCCTACTTTAAATAGACTACAGAAAGAAGGGTACCCTTATTCTAACCTCTCTGGCTTCCATTTGCTTGTTATCGTTACAATTCTACTGATGTTGCTTTCATTTTAGATATGTTGATTTGTTTCTTCTGTTCACGGAAAAGTGGGAACCAACCAAAAGATGAGAGGATTTCTGAACTGCAGTTCCAGTGTTTTGAGTGCAAGTCGTACCTCATGGTTGTGTGTGTTTTTCCTGTTGGTTTTCAAGAGGGAGAGCCTATTGGCCGCGGAGCCCGAGCTTTCTAAATCCTGGATGAATTTGTGGAACGTTCCACTCACGCCATTGAAATGTTTTCACTTTGAGTCCCTGGATCTCAGTTGTCGCTTGGGCCGCTGGGTCTAGATCCGAGTTTTCGCAGGTGCTCAATCCTCGAGAAATGAGCCGAAAAGGGCCAGGACTTAGGCCCCAAGGCCCTTGGGGAAGGGGTGGCCTGGAGCCTCGCAGCTGTGGGACCAGAATGGCTTGAATGTAACCCATATTTCCCCTACCGATGTGGTATTTGAATAATTTTCAGAAAGGGTGCCCCATTTGGGCCATGGGTTCAGATAAAATCGTGTCCTTGGGTACCCTTGGCGGTAACAGTAGCAACCGCCATGGGAAGCTTCCCCCCATTTTGAAGTCGTACCATCCGCCTAACGTGAGAGACTGGGCGGTTCGGTTCGCCGAAAGACGAGTCGAGTCATGGAGGTCGCTGGCAGATGTGCTCACCTTGGGCGGCTTTCCCAAAGAGAAGCTCGGCGGCGTGGAGCTGGACCAAAACGGAGGTGTTTTCTCAGGATATTGGGAAGCCCGGAGTGTGGGAATCCCTTCACGGATGTAGGTGACAACCCCCCAATGAATAGGACGGGTTTAGTTCATCTGGAGTTCCCATTGCGGTGCGTCCTCTCCAAAAGGAATTTTGGATGTGAGGGTAGACTAAATGGCCAAATTCCAAGCTTTCTCTCACCCTTCAGGCTTCCCTACGTCTCAGAAAGCAGGACATTCTGCAGCGAGATCCTTGGTCTCTCCTCAATTTCGTGCAGAAATGAATGTAGCTTGTTTCTATCAGTGGTTGTGAACATCATCCTTTGCCACCCGTTTCGCTTCTTTTGAACGGAAATTTAATGGGCTTGGGGGTTTATTGTTCTGACCCTTTCGCTTTTTCCCATGTCTGCATGCTCTTAAAGGCTTCAGTATTCTGAGTAGTTGTTGTTTGTTTTGGTTCCTTCTTTGTCTCTGTTCTGCCCAGAATCACATGTGTTGCTAAGGTCCACCCTGACAGAAGGTGCCTTTAACTCGAATCTCGTCTGAGCGGACAATCTTTCCCAGCATCTACATGGCTGCTCTTTGACCGGATGGCGAAACCGACGAAGGCCTTTTGGACCCAAGGTGTTCAATAAGCCTTCAGGTAATCCACCTTTGGCATGTCAATGGGGTGTTGGGAGCAACCCAAGGAATGACCACGGGCACAATCACTGAGCTTCGCCAAGATTCAGTTTCATCACAGGATCGACCGTGACCTTGTTTGGTACTTTCCAAACAAATCCCAAAGGAGGTGCTTGAAACCATATATGCGTGCAAATGTAGAGTGCCATCCGCAAAAATGCCCTCTAAAGACTGGGAAACCCCATCCCCAAAAAGTGATGAAAGGAAAGTTCAAGCAAGCGCTCGCCCGGTTTGGTTTCCAACCCCTCCCGCCCACCCCCAACCTATCATCCCCCAACCTACAACCCCAACACCCCCACCCCAGGCCACTTGGCACCACTTGGCCTTAGTTGGCCTTAGTTGGCCCCACCCCCAGCCTATCATCCCCTCACCCCCCAACAAACCCTTGTGGGGGCCGAAGGAAACCCTCCCCCCTTGGGGGGAGGGAATTCTTTCGGGTGGTTTGTGGGGTCCGCACTTCCCTCGATCTGAGGAACGTGCGGCTGTGCATAGAGGCAAAGGAGATGACCAAGGCAAAGCGCCCTGGCAGAGACCAGACCCTGGCGACCTTAAAAGGAACCAAAGCGGATATTTGCGTTTCAGAATATAAATACTATGATATGTTGAAGAGAGCTGTTGGTTGCATTTCTTGTTTCTTCAGGAAGCACAAGCTGTTGGTTTTAAAGGCTTACTTTGGTTGTGGTTGTTTGTTTGACTTGCCTTCTTGTTGGTTTGTTGTTGTTTGTTGATTCGGCAAGCTTTGGTGTCTTCAGTTTAGTGAATGCCCAACCTCTTAAGTCACGTTGGCCAGTTGACTTAGCGGGTCAGGCAGAATTCAATGCTTCGCTGCATATCTTTTCACCAGTGCTAACTGAGACATGGGAAGCCGTGAGCCCAGACGGTCCATTAAAGAAGGACGCCCGAGTGATGCTTTCGGGCTGCATGTCTGAGAAACCTACAGGAAATCCTCTTTGGGTCTTTGGCCAATTTCCTGCCTTAAATTGCGAAAGGCTGGTTTTTATGGCTCCCGTGATGAAGGCTTCCCTGTCCGAAGCATCATTTCAAGGGAACTCGTTTCAAGGTGAAAGGTAAACGCTTGCCTACGCGAATCGACCGGATCTGAGCCTCTGCACCCTCTCCGGTCAGGTTCCTTCAGGAGCTGGACGACTTGACCGCCAAGGCCTCGCCCGAGGCGAAGCCGGTCGTTTCGCCCGAGGTCCCAAAAAAGCGAAAATATGTCATGGCGAAACCTGTTGGAAACCGAAAGGTTCCCCAAAAAGGGCCAGGTGCTACCATGCTGAATCTTTTCTGGTTGCCCATGGCCGGGTTTTCCCGTGGGGAAGCACTGAAGTTTGGTTTTGGAGCCCAAAGGTTGCGCCAGATTGCACTGCTTTTCGGGAAGGAGTTGGACGTGTTTTTCGCTAAAGAGCAAAGTTGTTTCGATGTTCTTGCCCAGGTTAAGCCATGCAGCAACCATCACTTCTTGGGCCGTTTGGGCCACGCCAAAAATGAATTGGGGTGGGGTTTTGTGGAGACATACCTCTCAAAGTGACTTGGACAGTGTGCCGGCATCAGCTCTCCTGAAGGGTTTTACTTCTCACTTCTGACCAGTTTCTGGATGTTATTTCCCTGCAGACTCACATGCAAACATCCCGCCAGACGCCAACAGATCTTTTTTCGAGAGCCCTTTTTTGGATGCCGAATCTGGGCACCAAACTTATGGAAGGTCGTTGCTTTCAAGGCCAAGTTCGAAGCCCTAGTTGCTTTTTCTGGCCAAGCCACTCAAATAAGTGAGTAGTCGCCCTCAGCACCCCACTTCGAATGACACACCTACTCTTCTGCAGATTACTCTGGCCTGCAAAAAACGCCATCCCACCGAGCACGTAATGAACAACCCTGGTTGCTCACTCCCTTTGACATCCCCTAATCCGGAATTACTCTACATATGGGGGTTGATCAATATTCCTGGCCCCCAAATGACCATGGGTAACTTTTTCCCATGTGGGACAACATCATCTTTTGAGTGGTTTTCCCGCATGGCCCATGTTTCCCGGACCTTTTGTTCAACCCCCATGCCCATGAAAACGGGGCTTCCAGTCGGATGGTCATGGGCTTCAGGAAGCCTTCTGCTTCAGGCCTTCATCTTCTTCGGCTTCAGCGGCCACGGCAAGGGCAACTTGCCGGATTTCAACCACGACGACGCCGGGCGTTCTGTGGCAACGCTTTTATTTTTGTGTGACTTGTGTGTTGCCGTTGTGAAAGCAGTAGGCCTGCAGTTGGTAGGGATGCTCATTGACCCCTTAGCGGGTTGGTCGGGATTCTCATTGATTTTTTAGCGTTCTGGCGACAAACAAACATTGATCATGGTCCAAGGAAGTAGCTTTGACCAAGGCACTGGGTTTGGTTGGCTGCAATACTCTGAGGGATTTGTTAGAAAGGGGGCTAACATTTGGTGCTGGGCGCTAATTTTCGGCTCTTACCTCACCTGATTCACATGAACCCAACAACATCGTTTTCAGAGGACGGTTTTTTGGGAACCCCATTTTTCTCGTTGATTCTCAGCAGGCAATAATTCTTATAAACAATCCCCTATGGCCCTTTGGTTTCCTTTAGGGGAATCCCGAGGTTGATTCCCAAAACCCTGGGTCTATTGGTTCAACTTGCGTGAAGTGTGTGGGATTTCAACTTGTGCCGAGGTGAGGTCCCCTTCTGGTCACAAGCTGTCACAAGCTGTCACAAGCTGTCACAAGCTGCCACAAGCTGTCACAATGCAACGGGAAAGGAGGGGTACTTGTCCAAAGGTTTTGAGCTGTGGAACTTGTGAACGAGTCTTTCTTTTGTTCGTTGAAGGTTAGAGCCTTGATGTTTGTCACATTTCAATTTAAACTCTGCCCGGACCTCTAGTGTTGTTTGTGTTCCCCTTGAGAGGGAACCTTGCATGGTATCGAACACTGTCCCTTGGCAACAGGTCTGGAAATCGAAAAGCTGAAACTCAGCGACTCTTGGACTGACAGGGAACCGACAGAATATAATCGCGGGTCTTTGTTTGATGTGAAGGTGGCCCCTCTTCAGCTTGGCTTAAAGGGGAATCCTTTGAGGCTGAACAACCCCAATGCATCCCTTTTGCAGGGGAGCATGGTCCGGTAGGCTAAACGTTCAAAAGGGACATATGATTCCTAGCAGTAATTGGTCAAGCACTCGTTGGTCAATAGCAAGCACTTCATGCAGCCCCACATGATCTTTCGCACTTGGTCAATCGTGGGCTTTTCTCCGCGCGGAAAAGAAGTTGGCTCACTTCTTCGAGGCAGCCTGACAGGAGTGGAGTTGAATCTGACCAATCCCTTCTCCCCAATGCTAAACAGTCCCCTACTAAAACCGACCGACGAGAGAAAATCCCAAATCCGGGAATACTACTTTTGGAGTAGCCAATTCTAAACCAATTCTAAAGTAGGTATTTTGCTGGGCAACTCCGGAGAAGCCGTTGGGCCCAAACATCCAGGGGACCGCAGATTTTAGTCCATGTTTCCTTTTGCCAGGGTTGCATTTTGGGTACCTATTTTTGACCCACAGCTATCTGACCATTTTGCCCAAGCAACTCTGGAGAAGACATTTTTGCCCGAAAAATAGCCGCGCGGCTCTCGCTCGCGCCATCAGCGTTTCCGAGGAAGCGGATGGCCGAGACGAGGCGCTGTGCCTCTTCGATGGTTGGCTGCTGGACGATCTGCTGACGCCCAAGTTCCAAGCCATCGCCGATGCCGGGCGTAACTTAGACGTTTTGGGGGGGAAGAAGAATTGACTAGGTCTCTCAGCTAGGTGCCCTTTCTCACCGTTTTTTTGGATGGGAGGGTTCCCCTACTAAAATAGACTACAGAAAAACAGAGTACCCTTATTCTAACCTCTCTACTGGAGGACCTAGATAATTGTTCACTTAACTTTGATTTGCTCTTTGGTGGACCACAAACGGTGGCAATGTTTTGTGGCTTTTCTTTTTATTCCTTTATTGGGGGTGGTCGTCCTTGAACATGAATCAACTGCAAATGAAGGGTTATTTCCTTCGTCTATCAATTTAACCAGGCACAAGTTATAAACATGTTTGCCTTTTGTTATGTTCCGTCATGTTTCCTTTTAGCAGCAAACAGTGAACGTTTCGCCTTTTCAACAAGCAAGTCGTTGCCACTTGTTGCAGTCGGATCAGTCTAAGTTTGGCCAAGGAGAGGGGCGCCACGGTGTGCTTCTACTTTGACTGCGCCTCGGTGTGCATAGCCACAATCAAAATCCGGGTAGATGAAGGTTTAGGGTAAGGGAAAGTCTCAACCCCAAATGGGTGCAGCCGCTATTTTAGTCCATTACATAGATTGGGTCGACCATCTCATATGGGAACCCAGGAGTACTAAATCAACCAGAAGATTAATGGGAACCTATCCCTTGTGGCTGTTGGGGTATGCCGAGCAGAAAGCTTATTGAAACTAGCTTGTCCTTGAACTTTAAGTATGACTTTGAGCCAGAAGAATACACCCTGGTGGAGATTTTGACCGGGGGTGGTCCATTTTCGAGGAAATACGGATCACTTTTGGGGGAGTGGCACCCCCCCACCATTCTTCCACCAGTTTGAAGTGTTGGACAACCATTCAGAAAACATCTGCACCAACCGGCAGACAGATCAGCTGTTTTACGTTTCAGCCAGTGGGAGGCGTTCTTTGGTGTTGACTTCTGTGGTTCTGTGCATTGCGACGGCGAAGTTGCAGCAAACAACCTCTTTGCCAGGCATGCCAGGCGTACGGATATCTCGCCATGGCTCATGAGTGTGGCTCAAAGCCCTCCCCTCCTCTTGGGTCTGGGGATGGTCTTAGGCCTTCCAGATGAGGGCTCCACTTCAGGGATCCCAGTACCCACAACTCGGGAGTTTTGAGCGCACGAGGCGCCAGGCCCTCTGTTTGGCGCGAGGCGAATTAAGCGTCTGTGCGGGGCATGGCACCTGACCCAAGAGGTTCTGTTGAGCAGATCTGCGAGCCGAAAGTCGCAGCGCTAGTCCCAGAGGTCCGCAGCCGGAACCGCCTGCCCCCAACCCGCCCCCAATGGGCGCAGATTCCACCGGTTGAAAAAAACAGAATGGGGATGGACATGGCTGGAGGTCTGAGACTTGATCGATTCAGTTTTGAACAAACGGATCGATGTTTGGATGTCCGGCTTTGGAGCGTTCAAAGGGGTCATTGTGGCTTCATGGGTTCATTGCTCAAGATCTTGCTTGGGTTTGGTAGGGACATTCATCACCCTTCAGTCCAGGACTTTGGACCAAGGAAAGGTTCCCCATCTTTTCTGGGAGCCATGATCACCCACATTGAGGGAGTTTGGACCATGGCAAATATTCAGGTGCGTGTTTGCAAGGGACACCCCCCCCACACTGCTGGGGTTTGAAAGGGAGACCAACAGCAAGACCGCCCATATGGGTTTGTCTTTTTTGGGGGTACCCCAATTTTTCTGGCTTTAAAAAGGGAAACCAGGAAACAACACCATTTTTTGGCGTCCCAAAAAAAACTGCCGAGCCACCGACCCGGCCAAGCTCCTGGAATCGCTCGGCCCCGAGGCTGCTACGCGGGCGGCATGTTCGATGGCACGCCCTCGCGGAAGGCGAGCTACTTCTTCGGGGGGAAGCAGACGGAGAAGACGGTGGACTCCATTATGGTGGCCGCCCGGCGTCCAGAGGTCTTGCCACTTGCCTCTTTCGGCGGAGAGTCCGGAGCAACAAGCCTTTGTGCTTTTTGTGTTAACCGGCTGGACCACTGGACCACCGGAATTGGATTTCCGGCTGTTGTTATTTGAGAAAGGTGGAGGAAGGATTGGTCGCGTATCCTGTTTCAGCAAAGTTGTGCAAGGGTGCTTGGAATCTTTGGAAGATGACCAACCACAAATTGGTAGCAGACCGTTTTTGCTTTCCCGTACCAGAGGTCTTTGGAGCCACCCTGTTTTGTGGCCCGCGAGTCTGCCAGACTCGACTGCCCAGTTTGCCCGTCCCTTTTCAACAGGTTGTCATCGGCTTTAAGTCTGACCATGGGACTCCCTCCCAATGCCAAATCAGGCCCCCGTGTCTTTGGCTTTTCGGCCACCATGGTCCCAGTTGGGCGGTGTGTTTCTTGCCCGTGTTCCTGGGCTTTTGTCTTGAGGGGCTGAAGCCATGCAAGCTTTCGGTCCAAGTCTCTGCGGTTGAACTCCCGACCGACACGAAGCCGTCGGCCCCGTGGGACAATTTCTGTGGTACCAAACCCTCTGAAGTCAGAAAGTAGCGAGGCTGGCCCTAGACATCACAGGCCGATTTCCAACTTGTGGACAAGTAAGGTGGAGAATGAGGGGAAGACGGAGTACCGCTACCACGGCCTTTCGGCAGATTTTGGAGTCGGAATTT